CTGGCTCCCTCACCAGCCTTTTCTGGTGAGAGGGATGACTAAACACCGAATGGTCAGGGTTTAAAAACAAGACCTATCAAATGGTAGATAACCCTTCTTGTAGGGTTAGTGGCCATCTACTAGAAAGGGGTAGACTGGGCTCCATAGCTAGTGTAGTGATGACACAGCATTGTGAGATGACTTTGTAAACTGAAGTCAATAAATGCCTAATCCCTGTATAGATAATGATTGTCACTTCTTTGCAGAGAAAGAACGTTTCTCCCACTTGATAACATTTTTTTTAGTGATTTTTCATTCAGAATTTAATTATTTTGATCATTTTTATCTGAGCTCTACGCTCTGCTATGGGCTCATAAATGATTCTTAAGGCGAGTTTCACTTTTACAACACACAAGTTTTTCTGTGTTACGAATGTTGTAAACTTATCTGTACTTGTGTACAATCATGTGATGTTTGAGTCCTGAAACACACTTACAAACTTTGTCACAAAACTTGCACAAGTAACCTGCAAGTCTTTCTGGTAGGGTTGCATTCACAGGAGATTGCACCTAACCTCTCTGGTATGAGCTCATGTAACTTGCTAAACCAGCTTCTGTAAGGGTGATTTTCCACAAATACCGCAAGTGTGTTGGTGTCCTAATAACTCTGAGACAGATTCTATTTCCCCCTTCCTAATGGTGTGCTTTTTATTGGAATGCTTAATTCTCTTCTGCTCAAAATTGTTGCAGCATTCCAAAATCAACCTTCTCCTGCCAGATCTATCTCTAACGACAGTTTCCCAGTCTTCAACATTAATGCCAAGAGACTTTAGGTTACATTTAACTACATACTTAAATGTTTTTTTTTTTTTTTTTTGGCTGATGAGTAAGTCGATTACCTTGTGCCAGCTCACCATAAAAAGTTTTTTAGGCAATCTGCCATCCATCATATGTGTCAGATGACCTGTCCAGCACATTTCATTATGAGGAAGTAGCCATCTTCTCTCTCTCTCTATCTATCTATCTATCTATATATATATATATATATATATATATATATATATATACACACACACACACACAGGGTGAGCTGGATTTATAGTCATCTAAATTACACAAAAATGAAAATGGCGCTGACATCTCATTTTAAAAGATATATTTACCAAAATTACACAAAAATATCTTGAAACACTAAAGACTAAATTTATTCAGTAAAATCACCATTGGCTTCAACCACAGCATCCAGGTAGCTTTGGAATTTCCTGCAACTCTTCTGAATGGTCTTCTTGTTTAAGTAGGTAAATGCTGCCATAATTCTTACCTTCAGTTCATCTTTGGTGTTGCAAGGAGTTTTGTTAGTTTCTTGCTTAACTCCACCCACACATAATAATCAAGGGGTTTTATGGCATTAGAAGATTATATATATATATATATATATATATATATATATATATATATATATATATATATATAATAATAACTTTGTGGGTGTTATATTTAGCTGATGGCATCTGTGAGTGATTAATTTCTGAAATGTTAGTATAATTTAAGTATATATTAGTGTATTTTAATTGCATCATAAATGTTGGAAGTGAGTATGTAATACTAAGTTACATCATCTGCAAATGATTGGATCTTACATTCATTATGTACTAGCCAAATTCCCATCTTACGAATATTCTCTTAATAATAATCTTATAATAATTCAGTAGACAGTTATTTTATTTATGGTAACTGAATTTTTGGCAATTGCCTTATTCTGTTTCAGTTCTTCAATACCCTGTGTCTGAAAAATGACACCTTTGGAGGTGTGTGCATGGTGGTGGGGGGTTCCTTCCAGGCAATATCTTTCTTTCAGGAAGGGGCTGGATTTATTGTCCTGCACCTGTGTTGTCCCCAAAAGAGGAAGTGCCAAGGGAGTGTGGACAATTTCTCTACAGTATTGCTGGCAAACCCACTCTAAACTTTCACCTTGTTTCACATTCAGAAGCAATGTGGGCAGACTGAAAAATACCATCGCTTCTTAGCCTTTTGGCTGGGATCAAAGTGTAGTGTCTCTCCGAGCAGATAAACTACATTTCATCTCTGCTTTGTCTGCAGAGAGCCCAATAGAAAATATTATTGAGAAGTGCCCAGTTTTGGGTAACTACTGCCCATGGCAGTAGCATCCTGAGTACATTAAAGAGGGGGAGGGGATTAGTAGTAATACCAATGCCAGTGCAATTTATGGTTACAGGGCTGGGCTATTTTTGGACAGGGTGCATGCACTTGGGATCCCCACATTAAACTGACATTTTGTCACATTCTGCCAGCATGGAGTAGCAAGAAAATGCAATCACTTCTCAGCCTTTTGGCTAAGACCAAAGTGTAATATCTGTTATCGGGTTTAATCTGCATGAGTCCTAGTATAAATAGTTATAAATAATTTTTGACCAATTTTATCATTGTAATATTTTTGCATTATATTAAGTACTAAGAATATAGTAACTAAGCTCTGCAAATTGGAGGAGAGAGTTATCAATGATAATGTTCTGACTTTGAATCTGCAGTTATCTCCCTTTAACCCTCGCTCTATTTTTTTTATTTTTAAATTTACTTTTTATCACATAAAATTTGGGGTGCTAGCAAATTTTCATTCTGAAAATGCAGCTCAGAGAATAAATTTTGGGAACCACTGAATTAGCATGATAAATATTGTTCATATAGAAACTGTTCTTTACATTTCATGATAATGGAACAGTTTTGAAGTTAGTGTTTATTTGATCTCCACACGTAGAGGGAAATGTTCATTAAACTTAACTCTGTCTTGAATCGGGCAGCCATATTGAATAGATCCATTAAAGAGTGAAATGCCTATGTGAACAAAAAGTCTTCACTGCAGAATATTTATTGTTTGTTTGCAGCTTTTATTAAAAAAAAAAAAAAAATGATTATGGATTATTGTATTTGTCAGCAGATAAAACACTTAAATGAAAAAAAAAAAAATTGATGCAAATAAAACCCAGCATCCAATGTGTTGGCTGCTAACTGAAGCTCAAATTAGAGTGATGGAGTTTTGTATAAGTTACAGTGAGCATTATATTCATTCTCAATAACCTTGTCAACTCTGTCTTATTTATGTGCCATGTTCCCCTCAGGATGAAGGCGGCCATAGCTCTCCACAATTTCCTGTTTTGTAGTTCTTAATAAATTTTATCTTTCTGTTATTTCTATTAAACCCTCTTATGCATTTACTCAACTTCAGTGTGTTATGCATTATTTTTCTCTATCCCTATGACCTTCAGTTTGCCATGTGAGTATCAGATTTTTCAAGTCCTCTTTCCTCATTATGTGCCCTAGAAATTTTAAACTCTCTTCCTGATGTTAAGTATTAGTGTCCTTTTTGTTTCCATTTTCCCTAAAACTTTGTTGTTGCTCATATAATCAGTCCGATATTCTCAGCATCTTTCTGTAGAATCACATTTCTGTTGCTTTAAGTATCTTCATCTCTGAGGAGATTGCCCTATAGTTTAGTAACTACATTAAAAAAAAAATGTGGATTTTATAAATTTGTTTTTCATTACTCACTATTCAAATAAAGTGTCATATTTTTTTTATTTTATTCATTTAGACTGTCATAATCACAAATGATTTCTGTGTAAAATCTGTTAATACCTGTAATGATATTTTCAGATGTCCATTTTTATTTAAAGGCAACATTACTTCATGTGGTAACTAAATTTTCAATTAATACTTGTGTACCCCAACATGGAATAGACAGGAAACATCTGTTTTAACAGACTAATATGGGGAGGGGTGTCTTTTAATGACAAAAGTCTGTTTTCTATGGTTTTACTATCTATTATATATTTGACATGTGCTGTGCTAAATTATAAGATTTTTGGATTGAATACAGAATATATAATTTTTCGAATCATTTTTTTATTTTTTAAAATAAAAATGAAATATCTTGTGGAGAGTCACATTAGAAAGAATCAACCCATATGCTAGGCTATGAGGATCTCCTTAATAGGCCTAGGATAGAAATGATAGGGGAGCTGTTAATAAAGAAAGATAAATGACAGCAAGGCTTCAGTGGCAGCAGGCTACAGTAGATAAAGAAACCTTGGTGAATGCAGTTAAGTATAACAATCATCAGCAGCTGCACTCCTTAGATTAGATTTAAGGACCAAATTCTCCACACAGTATTGTCCCACAGGACAATAACCTAGTGAATTAAAGTGTTGGTTCATGAATTTGGTGACAGTAATTGCGAGTTCAATACCTAGTCCTGTAGAATATTGGTTAGCTTGCCAGTGGTCTGACACACAAGTAGGCAAGTGTATCCAAAGCTAAAACTGGAGTCATTTCATGGAGAAATATATGGGTGAATAAAGACCACTCATGCAAATATATTGGGCAGGTCCAACCTAACTGGTGTATTAGGCACTCTCCTATAAAATGAGGTAAAATCAGCTGGCTTGCTTTACAAGGAAACAGAAGAAGGCAGCCATGTTAGTAGGTAAGTCATTTGACTTTGATGGAAATAGGGTATGCAATAACTGAGTAGAACTAGGCAAAATATCCCTAGACATGATCAATAGAATAAAAATAATTTACTTGTGTACATTAAAGTTCAAAATTCCTTGGAGGTTACCCAGATCAACACACACCTTATGAAGCCCAAAGAGTACAATGGCCAAAATATTGTGATAATAATAACAAAGATGAGGACAATAGTAATCTTGTGAAATTGCAACTTGTGATGACATAAAGTTTAGAAACATAATCACTCTTTGGTTTTGGAGACTTGATTAATGTAATCTAAAAGCTTGCACTATATGCATAAACAATAATGCTGTTCTTTATGAAATTCTCCAACCCATAATATGAATATATCCTAAAAGTTCTCAGCCTGACCAAAAAGCCTTTGAAGGGGGAAAAAAAAAAAATGTTCAGATTTTGAAAAATAGTTGTTCTTAGGACTTTCATTGGTACAAATTGTATATCAGATATCTAAGTTATTGGCTTATGGTTATGTTCCATTGAAACACTGGTTCTTGTACAACCACTGAAGTTAAGCAACATTGAGCTTGGTCAGTACTTAGATAGGTGACTGCTTGGGAATATCAGATGCTGTAAACTTGGATGCATGGATAGTGTAATGGATAATGGCTTGGAATTTGAGATCATCGAGCTGTGTTACAATTCCAGTTGAGTTCATTATATTCAGTGCCTTGGGAAAAGTATTAATCCACCACTTCTTTCCTCAGTAGTGGGTCAATTAAGGGATTGTATCAGTAAATCATTATTATCCCCCAAAATTCTTACAATCTAAAAACATTTTCTAGCTTTAAAAATAGCCTGCAAAGAGTTGATAAGCCGTAGAAATCAAAGTTATCTATTTAATATAATATTAAGACAAAAAGCTTTGGGTTCTCTTGATAGTTTTAAGTGTTAATAATATAATTTTAAATGTAAGAATATTTCAGTATAAAGTGGTAAGGAATTATTTAATATTAGTTTCACTATCTCACAATATTGCCAAAAAAAACAAAAAAAAAATTGTATCAGTTTTGATTTGTTAATAAGATTTGGATTTTGTCCAGGCTTAGCACAAAATAATCAATAATATAATCAATAATATTTTGCAGTTGTCTAAAAAAATAAATTGACTCCTTTCCAATAACTACTGCTGTTTTTATTTACATTAAAAGCATTTAAGCATGATTGATATTAAAGGCAGTTGTGCTGTTTCCAGTTGTTTAATAGAATCCAATATTTCCTGAAGTTTAAAATATCCTGAACAAAGTTTTTTTTCATATACATTGTTCAAGCAGCCCATTCTTTGAAGTTTTATTTTCTTTACTTGTTTTTACACTTTTGCAAATTAATTACTTGCTTTTTGACAAACTTTAAACTCATTTGTAAGTACAGACAAACTTCATCAGCGGACTAATAGGTGGGGGATTTGTTAAAGCCGATTGTCTGTAGATGGGAAGAGATATTTTTCAGTTATAAAACTACTATAGTAACTGCCAGTAATTATGACCGTAATGTAAATACTATAAACATGTAGATATGGCATAAATATATACTTAATGTAGATATATTAATCAAAATAACAAAAATAGTATTTTTCTCACAGCTACTTTCTCATGCACACTCTAATGTATTGTACTTTATATACTGTTGTAAGCAAAGACGATTTGCTTACAACTGGAAAATCAGCCACCGCCGCCAAGTGGTCACTTTGAGAACTAATATGATTGATTCTGCTAAGCCTGCAAATATTTTAAGTACATCACTGAACATTTGGAAGTTTTTCTTCCTGCAGATGAGAGGTTTGTCTGTACAGCATGTTTATAAGTTGTATAAATTGAACATACTGAAATTTTCCTTACTTTGAACTAAAAGCACAATGTTTTTTTTTTTCTTACTATTGTTCACCCAATACAAGACTTAAGTGCCATTCATGGTAGAGGGTTACTGAATGGGGATTTCTAAGGGCTAATAGGTGGTTGGATACTATGAAGATATGTAGGAAAGATAATGGTTGACTCTTAACTTGAAGAGGTTAAGATTGTCATGATCAAAGAAGCATCTGCTTAGGACTGTTCTCCATTGCAATAATTCTGGGTAAGAAGCTGCCTGAGTGAAACTTCTTACCAATTTAATATTGAAGGGAATGGAGATTAATCTACTTGAAAGAAAGAAAAAAAAATGATAGAAAATGACAATGAGAAAATTTAAAATTTTTATTATTTACATTGTTTGGACTATTGTCCTCATCTTTATTACCATATTCACAATGTTTCACCTGTTGTATGCACCGGCCTTCTTCAGGTGATTGGAATTTCAAAATGAACCCTTTTTGTCTACTGGGGTAGATTGTTCTTGTTTCACATGCCATGCCTCTTCTGGATACCTCATTTATCTCCCTTTAACTCAACTCTCCAAATTTTTGTTCACCACTGCAGTAGCTAGGTATTGAACTCACAACTCTTTGGGACAAGTCACTGGATTCAACTACCCCAGTGGAAGAAATAAAAGGTTGAGTTCTAAATTCCAATCACTTGAAGAAGGCTGGAGCGTACAAAAGCCAAAATTTTATTCAGTCATGATGACAGTTTTAGAGAAAACTGAAACAAAAAGGACACTTTGTATGTAACATCAGAAAGAGATAGTTGAAATTTCTAGGCCACATAATGAGGAGAAAGGTCTTGGAAAATTTGATACTCACAGGACAGATTGAAGGCAAGAGGAACAGAGGAAAAAACAATGCATAACCTACCTACCCAGTGAGCATGAGTTTATTGGATGGTAGAACAGGGTTTAGTAGAGATAGCAAAAAGGTAATTTATTAAGTGCTACAAAGGACAGGGAATTATGCAGAGCCATGGTCACCTACATCCTGAAGGGACACGGCACATAGAAGAAGAATCAGCCTGTTCATCTATTAAGTTAGCCAACATTACCCATGTTTCCAGAGACATTTCACATTAAGCTTTTTCTTTCAATTTCATTCTAAATGACCTTCTTCATTAGTCTTGATGTTGTTACAATAAAGCTTTGACTGATCAAGCCTTTGTCATTCGTACAATCTGTAAGAAAAAGAATGAAAATTGACATATTTCAAACCTTCTTTATTCTCCAGATTTTGCTCTATCTGATTATCACTAATTCTGTGAATTACAGAACCATCTCAATAGAGAAAACTACTGAAGAGAGGGAAGATCTATTCTTTACATTCTTTTTTTTAGTGCTAAGACTTTTACAAAAAAAGTCACCATGAAACTGGTGAGTGATTGAAATAAGCTCATTATTGATAATCAGCTAACTCATATTAGCCTTTCAAACAACATTATTTATGAATATTACTTACATTCTTTTTCAAGGTTGCCAAAAATTTTTTTAATTCTGTCAGTCATTTTTGCTCTTTCTGTAGCAGAACCTGACAACACCTGTGAAAATGAAACCTGTTTGGCAGTCAGTCACAGTAGGAGGGCATAAGTTTTGATTAGTCACCTCAGGAACATTATAGGTTAAGGAATAAATAGTAAACATTAATTTGATATTTTTACTGACCCTAAATTCAGACATTTTAATGGGATGAACTGATATTTGAAACAATTATTAATATGTATAATCTTTAAGACAATTTTAATACATTGAAGTGGTATTGCACACTGTATATTCTGCTACTTTTACATCAAATGAACATTTATTTTATATATATATATATATATATATATATATATATATATATATATATGATTAATACAAATGAAATTGTCACTTAGCTGATGTTTATATTCAGTATCTCAACTTCAAACTTTTCTGTAATTGTTCAGGCAACTTATCAGGAGGTTTCAACAAATGACTACCATTTTTCTCATTTTTTTTATACTAAGTTTGATGCAATTAATTTATGTGAGATATATATATCACAGAGAGAGAAAAACAGCAATTGAATAAATCTTGGAATTCATCATTTACTTTTTGCTTGCAACCAAGGCCTTTGGATTAAACAGCATGAAAAATATTGTGCCCCAACCAAAGCCTATTGCTAAGCACTCCATGGGCATAAAACAAAAGTAAACTGCTGACTGAATTGCAGACACACCTATTAAAATAGATGGCAACAACCAGAAGTATGTGCATTCATTCATGTACTTAAGCAATACTGACACACTCCCATAGATCCCTAGATGATCATGTAGTCAGCCGAATTTGCAAAGCAGCCAAATTTTTGGGAAAATTTTTCGATTGTATTTGGAACAGACGAAGAATCTTTAAAAAGATTACTGTGTGTCAAGCTGTATGGATAAAAATTGTGAATTCCTGTATAAGATCCATGTTCACAAACCCTGTATTTGTGGATACATTTTGCATGACAAAACTTACAATCTGTTGACTAAAAGTGTCCTCAGGAGTATTGAATCATTTTCAATGTAATTCTAACTTAGATGGTCTGGTTATGTTATGAGGATGAGAGGTGACAGCATAATTTCCTCATGGACAGCCAACTTCATCATGATGCTTATAATGGAGGCAATCCCTGGCTCTCTTTGATGGAAAAGATTACATTATATTTTAAAGCTGTCAGTATCCCTTTGAAATCACTTGAAGCAACTACAATAGATCATCTTGAATGGATGAGTAACTGACACCAAGGCATCAAAATTTTTAAAAATAATGTCACCTCAGTTATCTTGAAAGTTATTTGAAAAATTAAGAAATACATCAGCTTTCTGTCTGACATCATCAGCTACACATATTGTGGAATGGTATTCAGATTCCCTGCTGGATTAAATTCTAAGAGATACAAATGTAAGAATTGAATCTCAATGCTGAACTGCTGAACCCTCAGATGTTGAAATCAGGATTCTATTATATATAGGTTACATGGGCAAATGTTTAGAATGTTAGCATTCCAACGATGAATCAGGTTTGAATCACACTATGAATCTATTTCTCAAGGAGGTTATTTCTTGATAATATCAACTTGGTAAGACAATCCCATCTTGTGGCAATGTTAGAAAATATCTGAAAACTAAACATAGATTGACCGAAGCCTTGTGAGTAAAATTGGGCACACAAAACTGTTTGAAAGCTGCCAATGATTGTACTAGCACAAAATCACAAGTTATTGTGACTAAGAATTTGACTGTACAGTCAAACCTCTCATCAATGGACTAATATGGGGGAGGGGTGGTCCATTAAAGCCAATTGTCTGTAGATGGGAAGAGATTATTTTTCAGTTATAAAACCACTATAGTAACTATCAGTAGTTATGATCATAATGTAAATACTATAAACATGTAGATATAGCATAAATAAATATATACTTAATATAGATATATTAATCAAAATAACAAAAATAATAATTTTCTCATAGCTACTTTCCTATACACAAGCTAATGTATCATACTTTCCATCTTTGTTTACAAGTGAAAGGCCCACCATCGCTGCTGTCAAGTGATCATTTTGAGAACTAATACAACTCATTCAGCTAAGCCCACAAATTTTAAATACATTGCTGATGATTTGGAAGTTTTTTCCCCAGCAGATTTCTTTTATTTTGCCTGCAGATTTTATCTGTTGCATCTGAATTCCATTAATGGGGGTCAGTAGATAAGAGGTTTGTCTGTACTAGCTTTTAATTACTGATATAACAGATTATATGTTCTCTCCCAGAACTGTTCAGCATAGTTGCAGTATAAACTATGATTTGGTACTGTGAGCACTGACGAAACATACCTGCCTGGGCAGGCATCTGCAAAAGGGAATAGTTCACCACTCAAGCAAGTGGGCATGCTTGAACAAGTAGCCAGCCATTACACACACAAAATGACTATTTCTTTCCCTGTACATTTGTCTGTGAGGGCAGTGAGCAAATCCCTATTACAGATGACTGCTCAACCTACAGGTCCTACCTCTACTTTATACTGCAAATATGCTGAACAGACCTTAGTTACGGTTTTTGGGAGAGAGTGCATAATGCCACATGATCAATTTTTTGAACAACCCCGGCATGCTCAAACTATTGGTCATGATGATAGATATATACAAGATGTATCAAAAATACTTTTACAAACTTTTACAAACAAAGTTCCTCACACTAAAACTTTGGGGGCAAGTTCCTCACACCAAAACTTTGGGGGCAAGTTCCTCACACCAAAACTTTGGGGGCAAGTTCCTCACACCAAAACTTTGGGGCAAGTTCCTCACACTAAAACTTTGGGGGCAAGTTCCTCACACCAAAACTTTGGGGGCAAGTTCCTCACACCAAAACTTTGGGGGCAAGTTCCTCACACCAAAACTTTGGGGGCAAGTTCCTCACACCAAAACTTTGGGGCAAGTTCCTCACACCAAAACTTTGGGGGCAAGTTCCTCACACCAAAACTTTGGGGGCAAGTTCCTCACACCAAAACTTTGGGGGCAAGTTCCTCACACCAAAACTTTGGGGGCAAGTTCCTCACACCAAAACTTTGGGGCAAGTTCCTCACACCAAAACTTTGGGGCAAGTTCCTCACACCAAAACTTTGGGGGGCAAGTTCCTCACACCAAAACTTTGGGGGGCAAGTTCCTCACACCAAAACTTTGGGGCAAGTTCCTCACACCAAAACTTTGGGGGCAAGTTCCTCACACCAAAACTTTGGGGGCAAGTTCCTCACACCAAAACAAGGACAAAAGTTCATAGAAATATGTCCACAAATTCTTTGTTTTCGAGTAAAGTTCAAAGATAGTTTACAGTAGATGACAATGTGTTGCCCTGTAGACTAGGTTACATTTGTCATTCATGTACATTTATGACTAGTCTGTCTTCAATGTTTAATGTGTGTAGTAATGAGTTAATTGAGAAGTGTTGTGTTTAACAATGGCAGGATATTCATTTCGTGATCAGGTAGATATTTAAAAAAAATTTCTTTTTTTTTTTTTTTTTTTTTTTTAAGAAGCATTCCACACCAAGCAAGGCAGGATTGCCACTAGTACGCAAGGGGCTACAGAGTGAAAATAGGGGAAAAGACTGGGTATAAGGAAGGGATTGAGGAAAGGATAAAAAGAACGGGGATCAAAAACTACATTTCAATTTTTGAAGATTATATTTACCAGGGAAGTAAGTTAGAGGAAAGGGAGTTCCACTGTCAGAAAGTGCGAGAGAAGCTGCTGTTGGTGTAGAAGAGGCGGTTATAGTCACATGAATGGTAATGGATGTGAGGCTGTATTGTTGTATCAGATTGCATTTCCAGACTAAAGACAGTCAAGTCATCCAACTTTTAATGCTGTTTATTGTTGCATGGCTGAGACAGGATCTGTGGCACCACAAAATATGGATCCAGGAAGACTGAAATCCATTCATATACCTGGCCATGAAGAACACAGGCTGTTGAGATGATCTGTTATATCAGCACATGCCCCTAGCATGTCATACATCTCATAGTCCTGCATGGAGGGTACTTCAAGAGAAGCTCCTGTATCTGTATCATGTGCAGGGTCTTTCACCCTCTGATTATTCACCAATCATTTATTGCATAAACTGCCAATCCATTATTTGTCTCTTCAATCTTGTTTATGGATGAGGCAACATTTGGTAGAGATAGAATAACAAATTTATGTAATCAACATTTGTGGACAGGTTGGCATCCCCATGGTACAATACAGGCTAGGTTTGTGATTAATGTGTGGGTTGGAATTGTAGGTGACTGTCTGGTAAGTCCATATGTTCTCCCAGCATGTCTTACCGGAGCTGTCTACAGGGACTATTTTGAACACACTTCCATACCTGATAGAGGATGAACCCTTTCTAATACAAAGACTCATGTGGTTCATGCATGATTGGACTCCAGCACTTTTTAGTCACATTGTTTGTGATGGACTGGCTGATCTCTACCATGAGAGAGGGATAGATAGGGGAGGACTGGTTCCATGGGCTGAACGTTCCTCTGACCTCAATCCTTTGGATTCTTATCTGTGAGGCCACTTAAAACAATTGTTTGATGCAGCAGACATTAATAATGCAGAGACGCTTCATCAACATGTCATGGCGGTCTGCAAAACCATTTGACACTTTGTGGGAGCATTTGAAAGTGTCTACCAATCAATAAACTGACAGGTACGTGTGTGTGTGTGTGTGTGTGTGTGTGTGTAGAAGCAAACAGGACATTTTTAACATTTGTTATAAGTTGCTGTGTTGAGGTACAACGATGGCATTTTGAACATGTTCATATGGATGTTTTACCTTGTTTTAATATCAAGAACCTGCTGCCAAAGTTTGTAAAAGTATTTTTGGATTTTATCTTGGATTGTACATTTAACAGCATCTGCTGCAAACTTATTTACTCAAAAATGAAGGATTTTCAGATATATTTTCATGTGGAATTTATCCTTTTTTGGTGTGCGGACCCACCCCAAAAGTTTGTAAAAGTATTTTTGATACACCCACTGTGGTGTGTGTGTGTATGTATATATATATATATATATATATATATATATATATATATATATATATATATATATATATAATACAAATATACAGAAAATAGGAAAAGAACACGTTAGGTTAATAATCCGAAGTTCTTTTGTATTTTGTTTTTTATTTTTAAAAAACAGTGCTCAATACGTAAGTAGAGCATAAATTAAAAAATTAAATTAAATATTAATTAAAATAATTATAATATACACACACACACATATATATATATATATATATATATATATATATATATAAAAACAGTATTGAGAAAATAATATTACAAATTGGGGAAAAATTTTTTGTGATACATTTCATCTGTCCAATGAAATCTTAGTGGATGAAACAAGATACAAAAATCTTTTCCCAATTTGTCATATATATATTTAATTTATTTGTTTAAATGTTATATTTAATGAATAACCATATTTGAGTAGATTCTCTGTTTTTATTATTAAGCAGTATATTTATTTACATCTTATGATCTGAATATTCAAAAAATCTTGTTAGAAAAAGATTTAAACCTGCGTCCCTTATGGGAAATCATCATTAGGTCTGACAGGCTTGACCTCTCGACCACATAGTACCTCCAGATCAAACAAAGCTTGACTAGTGCTTTTGAACACACACCTTTTTGATTCTTGAAATATACATATCTGCTCTGTTTCATACCTCATTTAGAGTTTGTCATGGCTTAGGTGAAGAAATATTAATTTATTGATTTCTGAGTTTCAAATAGATTTTTCTTTTTTAAAAGTTAAATCTGATTTTTTTTTCTTTTTTTCACATGTTAAAATTTACTATTATTTACTTTTTTTTGATATGATTGCAAATTCATTGATTTACCTGGTTTCAATGTAATTAATTTTTTATTTACCTTTCTTTTCCATTTACTGTTCAGAAAAATCATGATATCCTAAGAAATATTATAGTACCTGGAAAACAATTTGTTTAATTTCATAAATAATTTTTTTTTCATTTCAGATTCAGAAAATCATGTGATATACTAAAAGGAAAAAAAAAAAAAAGAAAAGAAAAAATAAGTCATCAACTGTAAAGCAAGGATGAATTCCTTTTCTGCAAAAACAACAGTGAAGCAACATGCAGGACAGAATTCAAAGGTATGTTCAAATCAACACTTACTTTAAATTATCATTCTGACTTTTATTTCAGGGATTGCTTTTCTCTTCATGGCTGTAACAATTTCAGTAAACATTGATTAGGATCTCCATATGTCCTGTATTTTTTCCATTTAATCTGACAATAGGTCAAATGTTATGTGTGAAGATTGTTACATTTATGTTTCCTGTGGGGTGAATGTTTTTTATTTACAAAAAATAGTGGGTGGGAGGCAGGCATTAGAAATTCAGAATTTTTACCCACCTCTGGCACAGTTGAGAGATATGAAAGTTCTCAGCCACCAAGTAGTTCATATACTGAAGGTTTTCAGAATAAGAAAATCCCACTCACTCAAGATATACTTTGAATTTTCTCACAATAGCAATTACTTAATGTTTTTGCTGTTGTGGAAGTACTTATGGCTTTGTAAAATTTACATTACCTATTATCAACATAGTCATTCTTGAGACACCATGATATATCACTAGTACTTGTGTCATAAGCTAACTTATACTGTGCCTAATACTAATTCCAAACTTCTATAGCTATATAATAGTTTCTTATTGTTTAAATGTTATTTTTAGTGGATACTCATATTTAAGTAGACACTCCATTTGTTTATTAAATAGAATTTTCATCTACAGGTCTGAATATTTGAGAAAATCTTATTAGAAAAATATGCCCCCTGGCAGGATTTGAACTTGTATTCCTCTAGGGGAAATAGTCGTTAGATATGATGTGTTTTGACTTAAGAAAAGTTTAAATAGTGCCTTTAAACATAAATTTTTCTCTGACTTCCGAAATATATAGTAGTATAAAATATGAGCTGTTTATATATATATATATATATATATATATATAATCAATTCATCCCAAGCAAGGCAAGGAGGCTGGGAGAGAAAAAATACGAGAAGACTTTATTAGGAAATCCAGTCCTAAACTGGAAACATCGAAGAAATTTCTACTCCTTTTCAAAAGACTGGGGAGAAGTATGAACTGGACGATAAGCTAACCTATCTACTTCTATTGAGGAGAAAAAATAAACAGTAAATAGAATTTAAGAATTTAGGTGTAGACTTTAGAAAGAACAGGAAACAAGAGATAAACCTCTACTTCTGTTCAAAAGACTGGGGAGGAGTGTGAACTGGATGATAGGCAAACCTGTCTATTCCTATTGAGAGAAAAGTAAATAAATAGTAAATATGCTCGATGTATCATTTAGCCAGGGCTGTACTTTGTAGTATCTTCTTGAAACTACAATGGCAGTGCCATCAATGTCTTTTAGAGCCTTTTCCAGTAAATAGAAATTTCTTGTTTTTCCCAAAACAGCCCAGCCCAGCAACAAGGCTATAACAATGTAACAGTTACACAATATGAATCCCAAAATAACACATTGACTTCAAATTTTTATGATAAATTTTGCTTTGAAATTTTTCTAACACAAACCTCAGTTTATTACTCTAAAGAGTTGAATACTTTTTGGGGCTTTTTTTCTGAAAGCTTCATTGCATTCAGACTGATGTTTGAAATTCTGTCCTCATACAAAGATAATATAAATTTATGTTTAAAGGAGAATCTTGTTTTAAAGGTATAAAATACAAAGATGACAGTGAGTAACATGTTGATAGATTATCAGTATTCAAATCTTACTCGTAGGGTAGTGTTTTGAGAGTTATGGTACTAATAAAGCCTTCATTTATTGTAAACTTTTGGCAGATGAGAATGGAGCAACATTGTATTGGTAAAAAAAACAACAGTGTTATACTGTCATGCCAGAAGTCATGATAGGAATCTAGTCTTGTTAGAATTTCATCTTGCAAACTTGACCTGGCATTGATTCCAGAAAGTGGTTGGAAAACTTCTGGAGAGACGTTGAATCATACCATCTCAAGAAATGTCCACAGTTTCCCGTGCAGGATCTTGTGGGCATATAGACCTCTCCATATTTCATGAAGGTTTGATGGAGTAGGTAGGTTTGCCTATTGTCCAGTTTGCACTTCTTCCTGGTCTTTTGAACTTGATTAGAGATTTATCCCTTATTTTCTGTTTAGGATTGGGTTTATGGTTCTTTTTAAAGTTTTCTCATTCTCTTTCACTCCCAGTAGCCTCTTGTAGCATTATAACCTTGCTTGGGATGAATTGATAAAAAAAAAAAAATGTTGCATTTACATCATTCATCAAGTCTCCAGAATGTTTGTCAAACCAATTCTGGACAACTAGAACTCATTGATATGGTGTTAGTCTGGTGGAATAACTTGTCATTACATGAATGCATTAATTCCATGAATGGTTGCAAATTATCATGAAGCAGTGCAATGAAAGGCAGTATGTGCTAACTAGCAGATAATTTGATGAAATTTTCAATCTAATGTCTGAACATTAGATGGTGATGCATACTGTTTAATGCAGTGAAAGATTGCATTGTAAGTATCATAATATATATTGACAAACCATACTTAAAAAGGTAGGTAGATACTATATTATTTTAAAAATATATAATACAGTTAATCAATCCATTGGTATATAATCCAGGTGGATCCTAGTAATATTAACTATTAAAACTGATCCACAGAGAGCATGATGTTTTTATTTTAACAGAGCATATGTATTTTGATAGCAAAAAACATAGTCTAGTTCAAGAATTTATTTTCAGTGTCAGTCCTCCTCTTGTAGATGCCTTGCTAATGAGCGTGGGTTTGTGTTAGCGATTGGTGGGGACATAAGGTATCTTATCCTGGGGTTGGAGTTTATTTATGGCCAGGACTTGTTTGTAGTTTAATATCAGTTCCTACTATGTGGTGCTCTCCCCAAATATATATATATATATGTGGAGAGAGAGAGTAATAATAATATTTTTTAAAATATATGAAAAATGACATGAACTCTCTCAATCAGATAAGTCAATTGAACTTTCTTGATTTATTGAATGTATATATTCTTCATTAAAAAACATGCTACCAAACTCTGACTTCACTGTCTTGAACTATACAGATCCCCAACATAGTACATATTTGAAGATCTTAATACCAAAGAATTTCAAACCTTGTCAGAAGTAAACTATTTGATCTCTTCCTAGACAAGCAAGATGCAGAGAGATAGGCATTGATTGAACTAGCCTACAAAAATCTTTTTTTTAAATGGTGCAAGGGATAGGATAGTTAATTTTACACAATTTCATGGCACTGAATTCAAATATCATAGTTATTTTTCTCAGTGAGCTCTAGTTTTCTTGCTTCAAATGATGACCAAAAAGAGAAAAATTGCTTATTTTAAGTCATCTGTTTGAAAAATGCAAAATGAACAGCTATGCAAATCAAATAAAGTTTCAACTACAAAGTAAGAAAACTGCATCAAATTAAGCATGAACTTAAAAATTAAAAAAGAACAATCATAAGAATTTTTGATTTTTATAAATGAGCTACTGTTTCGTCTCTCTTTAGGCTCCAACAGTAATCTACTATCATTCTTTTATCCTATCTCCCTTGGTATCTGTCTGCCATGACTTTTATATCCTAATAAAAAAAAGTTCTCCTTGTTCATCATTTATATCACTGCAGTTTTTTTGAAATCTGTTCAAATGACTATTCAAGAAATGTAGTTTGATACTCATGTTATCACCAAGCTCCTGGTAGTTTACTAATATGCTGTCAACGAGTTTCCTATAGTCATTTGTTTTACAACTACAAAGAAAGCTTTTTACTGCAGCAAAAAATGAAATTCAGGCATTTGATATGGTGACGTTCATAAAGTTAACAAAGTTGTCATCCTTGGTGAGTTTTCAAATGTCCGGTCCATCAAAAAAATACTTGTTTCAGTTTTCTATCAAAGTCTGATAATAACATTGTATTTAGATGTAAAAAAAGACTCCATTTTTGTCCTCAATTCATACTTAACACTACACATTACATATCAAATACATTCAATAAACTCATAAAACACTAAACCTATCTTATATAGATCATATTTATAATTATGTGGTATGTGCATGGGCATACCACTAATTAGACTATGAATAGTTTGATTATGAATGACCTTTAATAGTTCAAATACTGATGTACCCTGAGATATTTATACACATTGTCAGTCATTTAAAAATTATTGAGGTTATGGTAAAATACAATGAATGGATTTCATTTTTTTTTTTTTATAGAGCTATCATTCATCATTAAATTAGGAAATTAATTTTTATTAATAAAGATTGATTTGAGTTGATTATGATTTAGATTTTCATTTTCTAATCTGTAAACTGTGAACTCACTCAAAAAAAAAAGAGGTCAAATGAAAATTTTTTGATAAAATGAAACATTTTGGTACAGAGAAAATGGTAACTAAGATAAACAAATGGATGTCATTTTTGGATTTGGTGCCTTCAAATTAGCCAAGAAAAAGTGTTTCCATCTTTGCATCAAAATGTGTTGATCAGTGTGATTTAAGCATTCTATGATGATGATGATGATCATCCCCTTGACTTTTGTAATCGTAGGGGGGGGGGATCTGAATGCAGAAGCCATTCTGTACTACATCCCAAGTGAATCTGCTAATAGAAGAATTGCATTCATGCTTTCTCCACCAAGACCGATATATTGCTGATGATAGGGCCTGTGCTGATGAAATACATATTCATAGTTAGGTAAGAATGATCAACATCATTTTACCAAGTGTTCCAAGAAATATGTCTCGATATAAACCTTTCCAAAACCAGCTATGATCTGGAATTGGAATGAAAGCAGATATAGCATCTACCTTGAATCCATCCTAAAATTTCAGTATGTGGAATTAGTAAATACTAGCAGTAGAGCCCGGCATTGCCCGGGGATGTAACAGTAAGAAATAGATCAAGTATCGACTATCATAAAGACTGAAAAATAAAATTGACAAAGATTATTGTTTAAGGTTGACGGACACGCATGTCTTAATTAGTTTTTTTCTTTTCTTTTACAAATTGGTCAAACTCAAACAAAAACATTGTTTTCAATCGTTATGAGTCTACCGATTGAATAGA